TTTTGTGCTAATTGCTGTTTGCTTTAGCCTCCAGCAGGTAATTAAAACAATTATGTGTACTCTGCAAAAAAAGTCTTTATGCAGACATATGTTTCTATTTCTCCTAATACACAGGAGTAGAACTGCTAAGTCATATGGTAGGTAGATGGTTAACTTTATAAGAAATTGCTAAACTCTTCTGTAGTGGGGGGTAATATATTACTAGAGTTTTAATTTGTATTTTCTTAATGACTAACAATGTTGAGCATCTTTTCACATATTTGTCACTTGTATACTTTCTTTGGTGAAGTGATTGCTCAAATAGTTTGCTCATTTATTACTGGGCTACTTGTCCTCTCGTCAGGTGTAGGAATTTTTATATATATAAATGCAAGTCCTTCATCAAATGAATGTTGAGAATGTATTTTGCTCCAAGTCTGTTACAAACCCTTTAATTTTTATAACAGTGTGCTTTGGAGAGCTTTTTGTTTTCATTTGATGAAGTCCAATTTGTTTTCTTCTTTTATAGTTTAAGGTTTCTGTGCCCTATTTAGAAAAACTTTGCCAAACCCAAGGACACTAAATTTTTCTGTTAGGTTTCCTTTAGAAGTTTTATGGTTTTAACTCTTATTTTCAGGCCAATAATCTATTGTGAATTAATTTTTATAAAAGGTAGGGTCATAGTTCCTTTTTTGGTATAAGAATATGCAATTGTCCAGAACTATTTGTTGAAAGACACTGGCTCCCTCCTCCTCGTGTAACTGTAGAAAAACATTTGATGAGACATGTAAACATCTCTGAAAAGTGGAAAACTCATAGAAATCTAAGTCACCATCATCATTAGTCAGTTCTCAGTAGGCCAGGAGTCAGAGAACCTGACTTGTGGTACACACCTCCCTCTTTTATTAGCCTTTAAAATCTCTTTTAACCTCAGAGCTTATTCCCTCATCCATAAAACAAGAATAGCAATATCTGACTATTCTACTTTAGAGGAATTTTACATAGATTATGCATTTTTTAAAATATATTTTATTGATTTTTTACAGAGAGGAAGGGAGAGGGTTAGAGAGTTAGAAACATCAATGAGAGAGAAACATTGATTAGCTGCCTCCTGCACACCCCCTACTGGGGATGTGCCCGCAACCAAGGTACATGCCCTTGACCGGAATCGAACCCGGGACCCTTCAGTCTGCAGGCCGACGCTCTATCCACTAAGCCAAACCGGTTAGGGCTAGATTATGCATTTTTAAAGTGCTTCATAACTTGTAAAGTGCTACAGAAATGCAAGATATTGTCTTTACACATGAAGATCCCTGGACAACATGATGAGGCCCATTCTCACTTTTCAGGAACATAAGTGACTGCAAGATGAAGCTGTGCAAGAAAATGCTAATAATCAAGGGTACAAATTATGACTGCCTTCTGAATGTTAACATTAGAAACCCTTTTACTGTTGGTTATAAATGTAAGGGAAGTGGAAAAACAGCAATAATAATTATTTAGAACACTGGAATTTAAAACATTAGAAAGATTGAAAATCAGAGCAATTATTTTGTAAAAAAAAAAAAAAAACTTATCAAGAGTAATTTGAACAGTGTTTGCCTCTTCTTTTTGTCACATGACTAAAAGCTGACTGAGCATCCCTAACCCTCGTGATCTGGCACACTGCATCCCAGGCAGATCACATCCCCACTTCATCCTCTGCACTTACACTGCTGTGGAGCAGCACCAGGAGCACCTTTAATGTGAAGCTGTTTGCCAGCATCACTTCCTCTAGGACACGCCCATCTTTCCTGTCACACTTTCCTCATTTATGCCAATGAACTCCTCTAGACCAGTTCCTCTGGCTTCATATCTGGGCTGTCTTCAGTAGTGGCCATGTCAGCCTTTTCCTGGTCAGCCATTTCTTCTGTAACTATTTCTGTTCTATTAGAATTTTACTGCCAGAATTACCACTTTTCCTTTTTCTGCCTCAGTGTCATCTTTGTTGGTCAATGTCGTCTTTTGATTATCCATATCCAGTAAAATGTTATGTCGGTTTACCACTGAAAGATGAGGAGGCAACACAACCACATGCTTTGCTGTCTGTGCATGAACTGAGTGACCAGCACACAGTGACCAACTACTGACATATTTAAAAGAAGTGACATGAGTCCTGGCCTGATGGCTCAGTTGGTTGGAGCACCATCCCATTCACCAAAAGGTTATAGGTTTGATTCCTGGTCAGGACACATACCTAAGGTTTCAGATTGGATCCCCAGTCATGGCCTGTACGGGAGGCCACCGATCAATGTCTCTCTCTCACACACTGATGCCTCCCCCCCTCTCTCTCTCTCTCTCTCTCTCTCTTTCTCTCTCTCTCTCTCCTTGCCTCTCTTTCTAAAAATCAATAAAAAAAATTTTATCATAAAAGAAGTGACATGATTGGTCACTGATCAGGATGTGCATCTGTACTCACATAGTGATCTGTGGAGAGGAGAGGTAGAAGTGAAGTTTACACCTTAGGCAATTATTCATAGTTAATATAGTGACACTACTGAAATTTGAATCATGCTTTTGAGGGGTGGTTGTTACCTAGTGAAACACATTAACTGAAATTTGTGCTTCTTGGAGCCATGCAAAGTGAGGACTGTCTTCACTTGCAGTGTCCCAGGATGCATGAGTTCCCCATTTAGTGGTCTCAGCATTTGAAGAGAAAGGAAGATGTTATTTCTGTGGCTTTCTTCATGTAATTCTTCATGGACCTTTTCTGTTACTTCCAAAAATTATGGTGAAGAAATCAAAAAAAACTTTGTATGATTGTCACTGTTAGGTCTGATCAAATAATTGAATCGATATCCCTTGGGAACTGACCTTTAGGCCACTTCGCAAGGGACATTCCCTTTCGCTTAGACCACATTCCATTTCACTAAGACCTTAGCCTTCCCCTCCAGACCTTCCTAGGATCCAGGCCTGCTCAGAGAATGCTCTGCCAAGCAGAAGCTCACCTCGAGTTCTTTACAATCTCTGACTCCCCAACCCTGGGTGCTGGCACCATTTGGGGGCTCAGCCCATCTGGTTTTCCAGATGACCTAATACAGTCATAACTCTTTACCCCTTTTGGCCTTGTGCATTCCTCCTTCGGCAACCCTAACAGTCACTTAAGTGAGTTTATTTTAAATTAAGTTACACTGTGGTAAGAGACAGATAAATCAGTGAACTTCAAAATAGAACTTAATCGAATAACACCTGATTTCCTTTTCAGAAAAAGTAAAAAACTTGTAAATAATTTTCCTTAGTTTTAATCATTTCACTTCACTATTTCATATCCTTGCATCTCTTTAGTTGTCACTCTTCTTGTACCCAGAATAAAAGTTCAGCCAGGTCAAATGTTAAATGTACCCCTATCCCATGATGAGTTTCTGCTGAGCTCCAGAGGCTCATTTAGGCCTGCGTGCACTCAGTGTGCTGGGGTTAATGGCATGTTTAGGGCAGAAATTATAACACTGAACCTCTAACTTCTCAGAGTAACACCAAATTGTTGGCATTATCTCTTAAACTGTCTAATAATGGTTCATCATCCTGATTTCAGAAATAGTCATCAATGCACTCTGCACTATCCTTATAGAAGATAGAATAAATTATTTTTACTAACTTGGGAAGGTTATTACTTTTATAATCATAAAGTTATTTGAGATCTGAATGAATCAACTAAACATGAAGATATTTATTCAAGGTGGCAGCTGCTGTGTTCTACTCTGATTTTTATAATATCCACCTCAGGCCTAGTGACAGAAACAAGAACATAAATAGTTAATTAAATCACAGTTTGGTAAGTGGGGGAGGGTAGTCACAAGATGGTAGAGACTTTTGGAAAATACCAAACCTAGCTTTGAGGAAAACAAGGAAGGTCTGGCCAGGCTAGCTCTGAAAGACTGCAGGAATTACCTCAGCAAAGAAGGATAGATGGTTCTTACAAGAACCGCAGGTGCAGAGGCCTGGAGACCAGAGAAGGAGAATGATGAATTCCAGAAACCAGAAGAAGTTCCATGGGAGAGCTGAGGCTAGAGAGGTAACAAGTATGCCATGTTAAAGAACTCTGCCATGACAGGAACAGAGAGGCCAAGCGGTCTTAAAAAGGACAGTTTTTCCTGTTCTGATCTGTATTTCAGGAAAACCATTTCTGGAGTTACTGTGAATAGAGAGAGTGGGGGCAGTGCAGATAAGACCAGCTGGGATGCAGCGGGCTCACTGGAAGCCAGCAGCAGAGATGGGAGAGGATTCTAGAGGTATTAACCAGGTAGAATCCAAAGAGCACTGTGACTACTTTTGGATATTGCAGGTGACTTGGAATTTTCTGCTCTGACAGCTTGGTGGTTGCATTAAATAAGATATATAATAAAGGAAGATCAAATTAAAAGGAAATATGGTAATTTAATTTAAAAACTATTGACTTTTAAAGGAATGTAAGGCATAGAATGAGCTGGCCTCTGTGTGTTTTTCTGCTCTTTGCATGGCCTGAGACAGATGAATCCTGTGAGGAACCAGCCGGGTGGGGAGGGAAGTGGCACTACATTCAATCAGCAAAGGGAAGCAATGTGTAGGGCCCTTTGGAGACAAAGGGCAGCCTCCTATTGGCAACTTTATTGTCCAGGACTAAGACTGTAAATAGCACCATTTATTTGTGTGTCTGAACAAAATGGCTAGGGAGCTGGTCAGGGCTTCTTGTACCAGAAGTGACAGATGTCTTAAACTATTAGACTATGTTTTAGCTGGTTCATGTCCTGAAAAATAACAATAAAGGCATAAGAACAGGTTGAAGGACTTCTGTGAATAACCCTGTGGCTGTGGCTGAAAGAAGTACCTGGATTGAAAGACTTAAACTTTACCATGTTCTTGCATATCCAAAACATATACCCAGGCCACCGACTGCTCACTCCTCATTATGGCCACAGATCAAAATGCCTAAAAGCCATACAACCCACTTTTTATTTTTTTCCCAAATGTAAACAGGAAAATAATCAAAAGCATTTTTAGCTCACATGGAAGGATGTCTCGATATCTGTTTTTGTCTCTGTTGCATGATTCAGTCCCACAGTTGAACTCATAATGCATATTCTTATTGTCCAAAGCCTTTGGAGGTAAGAAATATAAGTCATGTATTTGCTATAACAAAAAACATCTGCCTTTGTCTACTGTTCATGATCCTAAACACTCTATATGACATGACCTGATATTAATGTGTTGTATGAATAATGGAAAAATCAAATCCCCTTTTAAAAGTACTATATGAAATATCTCAAACTTCAGATATCAATAAACAAGTGGCTTGATAAGGAAATGTTAAACCCTTAGAGATTCTTCTTTTGCTAGAACTTCAATAACTTTTAATTTTTCTTTAAAAAAAGGAAATATAGAATAATCACTTCTTAGGATCTACCCAAAATCTATCATTTTATAGACAAAAATAACAGCAAAAAAATATATAAGCATATAAACAAAAAATATAAATAGTCTCACAATTTACTACTTGCCCCACAAAGAAATTACAGCTGGGACACTAATTAGAGAATTCTTCCTATGAAAATAATTTCTTTACCAAGTATAAATCTAACAAACATTTATTGTACATTTAGAATGTATTTATACTGTTCTAAACTTTAGAGGACAAAGATGAATCTGAATGTGAATATGGCTTCATCCTACATGAGTTACAGGAGAAGTTTAAGTGGCGGACATGTGAACATATACAAACACACCAGTATGACTGACAGCACTAGACATTACCTCAAGGTATGGGGTTGGTTGGTAAGACATACAACATGTACAAACACACCAGTATGAATGAAACCACTGGACTCTACCTGAAGGTATTCGATGGGAGGGCAGACATGCGAACAAGTACAAAGACACCAATTTGACTGATAGCACTAGACTTTATCTGAAGATATGGGGCTAGAGGGGTGCACACGTGAACATGTATATCAACACTGGAATAAATGACAGTACTAGATCATATCTGAAGGTATGGAAGGAAAGCTCTATAAAGTAATGAGTACTTGAACTGAGCTTTCCTAAGTCATTAGAAGTTACTCACATGAAAGTCTGTGTGTGTGTGTGTGTGTGTGTGTGTGTGTGTGTGTGTGTGTAAGAAAAGAACAGAGGTGAGTGGCTATCATTCCAGGTAGGAGGACAAGAATAACGAAATTGAGGTATATATGTCCTCTCAGGGAAATAGGGGGTAGTACCCAACATGAGCACAGAGCACATGATGTAGCCCAATGGGAAACTGAAACTACCTGGAAGGCCTTGTTTCATTACAAAAGAAATCAAGATATAGCTAGTCGTTTTCTATTAGAATATTGGTGGATAAAACCTATACTTTCAAAAGCTTTTCAGTAACTCCTGGGTGGCCAACTTGGCACCACCAGTCCTTAAATAGGTGTTGGCAACTCCTGCCATGGGTAATGAGGCACAGTGAAGGTGTTAATCAGTAGGATAATATAATCAGATTATCTTTTTAATCTTTTTTGCAAACCAATTTTAAAATTAACCTAGAAAAAAATCTGTAGGAAGAACCAGAGCAATTTTGTAAAATAAGAGCAATGAGGAAAGACTAGTCTTAATAGATGGTAAAAATACTATCTAGCCATGCTAATTAAAGGAGTGGAGAACTCATGGATAAAGACAAAATAGTGTGGTGATTGCAGGGCTTTAGTGGTGGAGCTGGAAGAGGGCATAGAGAGGATACATAGTGATGGAAAAGATAAAAATAAATAAATAAAAGAGTTTGATACCAGTATATGAATAGACAAATCACTGGAAAAAGTCCAAGAATAAATTAAAGTGCATGTGGGGCTTCAGTATATGCTAAAGGTGGCATTTTATATCACTGAAGAGAAGTTTCCACACAATCCTGAGATACCTGGATAGCTATATAATGCTGGGTGCCTACACAATACCTTCTAATAAATAAAATTCTAGCTGGATCAAAGATTTACATTTGAAAAATCATCAAATTATTAGAAAATAATCATGAAATAATTATTATGATCCTAAAGTAAAAGGGGAATTCTTAAAAGACACAGAAATCCCTGAAGTCCAAAAAGAAAAGCTTGCCATATTTGACCACTAAAAATACCTGTCTTTTCTTAGTCAATGTGTGTGCGCACACATGTGTGTAACATAACAACAAAGTCAAAAATGTACCATCTATCACACATACAAAAGGGATAATTTCTTCATTATTGGTAAGCTTATTAATGGATAAGTAAAGGAATAAACAGAACATTGGACAAAGAATCGGAACTAGCAGTTCACTAAAAATAAATATGAAAGGCTTAAAAACATACATAGAGCTATTCCTGTGATCTCAAATAAATGTCAATTAGATCATCAGTAAGAAATCATTTGTCATTTAAGAAATGAGCAATGATCCAAAAATCTAGTAGCATTAAATACTGGTTGCTTGCTAGGAGTTTGTTCTAAGGAACACACACACGTATGTACAGGCATGTGAAGGGGTGGATGCTGTTCACAACAGCCAAGACGAGACTGATCTAGCTATCCACCCCAGGTGACTCTCCAAAGAAAAGGTCTTTATTCAGGTAAGTAACCACCATGCACACAAAAGAATGAGCTGGGGCTATATGTGCTGACATTATATTTGGGAATCATATCTTCTATGGAAAATTATTTTTAAGGGAAAACAGTAAGTAAAGTACAAGCTAACAATTTTTCTGGAAGTCTGTATGAGAAGCTTAACTAGTGGAAAGGGGACCCAAGAAGTGAGGGAAGAACAAGAGGGAGACTATCCATTTCATAACCTTTTATGCTGTTTGACTTTTTACCCTGTACCCCTGTGGCTTCAAAAATAAATTTAATATTTAAAGACAAAAACAATGTGCTCAATCTTTTTTTTAAAAAAAAAAGAAAGAAAAAGAAAAGAAAACCCCTGGTAGTGATGTGAAAAATAAATCACAAATAGACTTTTGTTAAGACCAAAATATTTACCATGTACTCCTGAATGATTTCTTGTCCTTCTATCCTTTTCTGAAGTATTTTAAAATCATTCTTGATGTCTGATTGCTCTTGAAAACCGAATTTTAATGGCCGAATCAGAGCCAACTGAGCTAAATCCCTTTCAGAAATAATCTGTATACCTAAGGAAGAGAGAAATTCATACTTGTAATTTACGTGTATTATGTGAAAGGAGATTTTATTGTTGTTGTTTTCTCTTAAGTAAATACACAGCCACTTAAGGATTAATGGGAGTTTATATTTTCAGAGGTGAAGAGTCTATTTGAAAGAAAGTATCTTTGTTTTGGAAAAATCATGATTATATACCTTGAAATTACACCAAACCCACTGCTCTTGGAGAAAACTGTAAGTGCAATAAATAAAACAGATGCAGCAGACCTGGAAGTGTTCTGATTTATAATGTGAACTGGGTGTCTGTACCGACAGTTATTCCAGGCAAGCATGTACAAGACCTGGGTGGGAGAAACAGAGAACTGTCCCCTCCCTGTGGCCAAGTGTTTGGAAGTCCCTGGAGTCTGAGATGAGAGGATGTGGAGTCCAACACACTTCTTATTAAAATGGATCGAGTGCACAGACATGTGTGTACACACACGTACGCACACACATACAAGAATAATATATGGTATAATCAATAAAACTAAAAAACAGATATATTATAAATACACATAATTGACAGGTATTAAATAGTTATACACTTATAACAGAAGAGAATACTTTCTATTTAATAGTACATGTGGAATCTCTTTTTAAATGATAATCTTTTAGGTCATGTTGACAGTCTAGATTCCACATATCTGAAATTATACAGATCATGCCCATTAACTAAAATGTAATAAATCTAGAAGTATTAAAATAATATTTTTAAAATTTCAGAATTGTGAAGTAAAATGCTCAAGTGAAACCGTTCTCAAAATCTCTATGCAAAGCCAAATATTATGAACTAAAATTAAGTTAATGCCAGCAAAAAATATACAAGAAGCAATTAAGCAGAACAATAGGCATAAATATAAAAGGTGGAAGTTTCTAAAAGTCTGCACAGCCTTGCGATCTCATCTTGTCTTGGAACACTCCTACACTTAAAAGCTTTCTGGAGAGGTGAGAGTGAGGGACTGTTGGTTGGGAGAGACATCCACAGAAATCCTAAAATTTTTCACAAATACTCCAGTCTCAGTGTGAGAGGTCTAGGAAGCCCAGAAAGGGAAATGGAATGCCCACAAGAGCAGAAGCCATTTGATCATCCTTGAGTATCTAAGAAAAATACTTAGAGCCTTGCTGGGGAGAAGCTGTGAGAAGGCAGAGGAGAAAGGACAGAAAAGATGGAATGACTTCAATTGACACAGCTGTTGACTCCCTGACACTGATTCCACCTTGGTAATTAATTAAAGCCATTTTTAATCATTCCACAATAATTCCTTTGTCAGTAAATAATCAGCAATAGGTAGGTGATTTGCACCAATGAGAAGCAAGTTTATTCAGGGCTTACAGGCAAGAGAATCAAGCCTCTGTCCAACCTCCATTCCCTGCCCACGCATACGCACATAAGCATAAGGCCTACTGTGACCATAAAAGGAATGAGCGGAGTATAGCAAATATGAAAAAATACACATGAAGAATCTATGTTCTTGATGAGCTCACTGAGCAACTCACATAATGAACCTGGAATATTTTCTATCTTTGACCTCCATTATAGGAAAAAACATATTTGTTTATTGTTCATGTCATTTTGAATTTGGGTTCTTTTTATTGTAGCCGGTCCAAAAATTCCAACAAGGTGTATAAGTCAGGTTTCAGCTATAGATAATGGCAATCATTACAGAAAGATATGTTATCTACTAGTTGGTGCTGACAACCTCATTGGGTGGATTCAAAGAGCAGGTGCTTCCCCCATTATGATTCAAAAATAACACAGCAGAATGGTCTGCCAAGAAAAGTGCCACCTTTGCCAGAATGAGGAATCTGAGGAAGCTGGACATCACAGCTCTAACCACTGGCTCCAGATGGCACTACCTGAGCAACCGCGGAGGAATTAGAAAGTCACACCACTGGGAATGCCTTGCCTGCTATGCTGTGCGCCAGCAGCATGGATGCTGCTCCACACATTTCAGTCTCAGCTAAGTGCATATGATTGGTCAAAGCCTCGCTACCAGGATGTCTGAGAAATGTCATTTTTAGTTTTTCTGCCTGAACCATACAGTGAGGTACACTAGGAGGAAGGTGTAGGTGATGTTGTGTAGACTGATCTACAATATATGCCACACACCAATCCAACCACATCCTTTCTCTAACCCTTTACACACTTGTCACTGTCCTCAAGCAAATTACAGCTCTCATCATCTACACTAATAAAAGAGAAACATGGTAATTAGCGTACAACCGCTACCCTTTTCACTGGCTAATCAGTGAGTATATGCAAATTAACTGTCAGCCAAGATGGCGGCCGGCAGCCATGCACTGAAGCGAGCAGGGAGACTTGCTTGCTGCAGACTCCAACGTTCCCTGCCTCACTTGCTGGCCTCTCAGTTGCAACTCTAAGAAACTATGTACTATGTTGCAAATAAGAAGCTAAACAAAACTCCAGAAACCAGCCGGACTGAAAGCCAGTGGACCGAAACTTTGTATCGATGTTTTCAGCAGCGAGGCCTCAGAGCTAAAGCTGGCCCAGAATAAAAAAAAAA